CATGAGACAAAGTATATGTGAACTGCTGTATGAAAAGTGAATTTACTATGTAAATCTTCACCCAAATCCTAATAAAAAAAAAAAAAAAGAAAAAATTGCCCATTTCCGTATCTATAGTGCTTATATTTTCATTACCTTTCCTTTTTCATGTTCCAGAGAGGATGCTAGTGAGCAATGTTCATTTCTAAAATCAATGTGGAGGTAGTTTCCCTTGCACCTTGTTAAAGGGCTGGCAGATTGTGCCAGCAGTCCGATGAGCAGTGGCAAGAATAGTCATTGAAGGTATAGATTTATGTAACCCCCTGAGGTGTTTATTTGGGCACTTCATCCCTTCTAAGTCAGTAGTGGTTAAGTGCTCAAACTGTGGAATGAGATTGCTTTCATTGCCTGGTTCCTTTTACTACCTGTGTGACTGGATAAATTTGCTTAACTTCTCTATGTCTCATTTTCCTCATTTTAGTAGGGCTATTATGAGGATTAAATGAGCTGACATATGTGTAACAATTAGAAAAGTGCTTTGCAATAAACAGTCAATAAATGTTAACTAGTGGTAGTAGCAGTCATTGTAAAATAACTCCTTATAGTGTTTACCTTTAAGAAGAAAATTCAAATGAATTAGAATTTTTAACTGTAGCTCTGTAAGGTTGATTAGTTTTTCATCATTTAGCTAAGAATTTTATAAATTGAAAATGTCATCTATACAGAGAAATACTAATATTTAGGGTCTTTGATGACAAAATTCTAGCGTAAGCATTTGAGTTTTGGTAATATGTGCTGTGATACTGTCATAACTTAAAATTTTCATTTTGCTCTAGGGGCATAAGGAAATGGTGGCAGGCTCTTCCTCCTAACAAGAAAGAACTGTTTAAAGAAAGTATAAGGAAGAATAAATGGAAGTTATTCCTTGGCTTGAGTTGTTTTGGATTGCTATTTTTAGTGTTTTATTTTACTCACCTGGAAGTGAGTCCAATCACAGGAAGGAGCAAGCTGCTGTTATTAGGGAAAGAACATTTCAGACTTTTATCAGAACTGGAATATGAAACTGTAAGTGGTAAGAATTTTTTAAAATTAGATTGTGTAATATAAGACTCAACGCAGGAAAGTTTCTTGTATATGAAAGATGCATTACTTTTTTAATTTTAGTCATGTTTCTCCTAGTAGTCCTCAGACCTTTCACACTTAGTATTTCTACTGCCTACATTGCTTCCATACACTCAACTAACTCTTGTTCTTCATGTGTCAATTTAAATGTCACTTTCTTAGGATTATCTAGACTGGGTTAGTCATTGAAGGTATAGATTTCTAGAATAGTCATTGATTATCTAGACCGGGTTAGTTAGCACTGCAGCATTAGGCCCTAGGGATAGCCTCTTAACTATGAATTAGCTCATCTGCAATTGTACCCACTGCTTGGCTATACTAGAGTTCGGTCTCTTTGTTGTATTTTCTCTTTGCATTCTTTATTTTTCCATGAAAGTACTTATCATGAGGATGACATAAAATAATTTATTTGCTGATTTATCTCCCTTGTTAGACTAAGTTCCATAGGGGCAGGGACCTTGTCTGTTTTATCATTTTATCGTAACTAATGACGTAGTGCACATGTAAAAACCAGTTGTCTTTGAGTCGACCCTAACTTAGGCTGACCCTGTGTGTGCAGTAGTAGAAACTGTGCTGCATGGGGTTTTCAGTGGCTGATTTGTTTTGAAGTAGATCACTAGGCCTTTTTTCAGAGGTACCTCTGGGTGGATTCAAACCTCAAGCTTTTCAATTAGCAGCCAAGTACATTGACTGTTTGTACTACCAGACATTCCACAGTTCATATACCAAAACCCACTGCCATTGAGTTGATTCTGACTCATAGCCACCCCTGTAAGGTTTCTAAGGCTGTATGGAAGTAGACTGCCTCATCTCTCTCCCAGAGGGGCTGGTGGGTTCAAACCACCAACCCTTTTCTTAGCAGCCCGGCTTCTTAACCGTAGAACCACCAGAGCTCTTTTTCACAGTGCACATAGTGGGTGTTTATTACTTATTTGTTGAATAAATAGATTTGTAATTTGAATTTTTATATCTTTAAAATAATATTGTCAAATAAGATACTTTTATTCTTGTGATATTTGGAGTTGTATGTCAACTTAGCTGGACCACAATTCTGAGTGGTTTAAGCATTTATGATGTGGGTTATTCCCATGATGAGATTGAATGTATATATTTTGAGCAGCCAATCCGTTGAAAGGGAGTTTCCCTAGGGGTGTGGCCTCCTTTCAATATATTTATGGATATCCTGGGAAAAAGAGACACTCTTCTGTGGGTTGAGATCCTCTTGTGTTACCTATAACTGTGCATGAGCAAACAATCCACCATTCAGCCTGGAGATCTTGGATTCATTGGAGTCAACACCAGGTATACTACCTGCCAACCTTGAGCTCGTCAACCCCAGCAGCTGCATGAGTGAAGAAAAGCCTCCAGCTTGACATTTGATCCAAGAACTTGGGACTTGCCAGCTGCTGTAAGTGTGTGAGCCATTTTCCTAAGATAATTTTTTTTTTTCTCTCTCTAAGCTTTACTGGTTTTGCTTCTCTAGAGAGCCTAGCCTAACACATTTGGTAACAAGAGTGGGGTGCTGCTCTGATAGATACCTAAAATGTGGAAACAGGAATGGAGTGCATCCTTGACCTGAGACCCTGGCAGAGAGACCCCGGCATGTAGTGTGAGAAATGTCAGGAGCAGAGCCAAGAGACCAGCATGAGAGATGGCAGGAGCAGAGCCCAGAGACCGGCATGAGAGATGGTGGGAGCAGAGCCCAGAGACCAGCCTGAAACAGTGACAGCCTTACCATCCCACAGAGGAGAAAGCTGGATGCCACTGGGTAGTCGGCTTCCTGGCAGAGTGCATTGCCTTTGGGCATTAATTGGTAGAAGAGACCGGCATGAAATAGAGTAGCAATTTGGCTGGCCCACAGAGCAAGAAAGCTGAGTGCTTTTTGGGCAGGAAGATTTCTGGTGGAGTGGGTCGCCTTTGGCGTTAATCGGCAGAAGCGGAGAGATCAAGGAAATGGGAAGCAGAGCTGCCTCAGCCTCAAGGGTAGGATCATGGCCTTTGGGGGTGGAACCACCCTAGCCCCCTAGGTTTAAAAGAGCCCGATCTTCATCAACTTGGTTCTGGAGTGTGGGGCTGCTCATTCATGTGAACTAGTTGGATGGAGTCAAGCTGCTGCCCAAGAGTGAGGGGACAGGGCTGTCATGCCCAAGAGGGAGAGGAACGGGGCCCACCAGGCCAAGGGGGTGAGGTCACCACTCAGGAACTAGGGGACTAGAGACACCCAGTGAAGGAGATCTGTACAGATACCACCCACTGAAGATCAGTGCAGGTGCCAAGTTGACAAAGGGTGGAATTGTGATAGGTGTGTGTCAACTTGGCTGGGCCTGGTTGAGTGGTTGGGCAGCTGGGGTAGTTATTCCCCATGATGAGACTGGCAGTCACCTCCATGGTGGGATGTACCACAATCAGCTGAGTAGCTGCTGTACAATGTGATCTGCTTCCCGTATATAAGAAGCAGCTTTGGGAATGGTCTCTAGCTTATGGTATGCTTAAATGTAGTTGTGTCATTGTTCAGCAGCCTGCCATACTTTAACGACTTTTGGACTTTTCAGTGGACTTGAATTAATGGCCTGCCATGTGGTTTGGTAACATTGGGACTGTGCCTTTTTACTTGTCAACCTTGAGCTTGTCAGTCTCAGCAGCCAGCAGCTGTCTGAGTGAAGATAAGCTTCTAGCTCCAGTGGGCCAGGAGCAGGAGACAGAGCTGAAGCACAAGGTTGAGGAGCTTTCACACAACTGCTAGAGCCTGGCACTTTGAACTCGGACTTCTAGCCCTCAAACTGTAAGAGAATAAACTCTTGTTTCTTCAAGCCATCCCATTTGTGGTATATTTTCTGTTAGAGCAGCATTAGGTAACTAAAAGAATCCCCAACATCAATTTTGACAATTTATTACACTTTTTGAATGTAAAATAAAGTTGGAGTTCAAAAACCTTAACTCCTTGAATGGAATAACTCTGACAGTTAAATACTGCTGACTTCCCTGAGGACAGAGGTCATCGTTCTATTTCCAGTACATAGCTCATACATAACTGTTCATTAAATATTCAGTTAATATTTGTTGAATTGACATAGTTTCACTTGACAGCTTTGGCATGATTAGATGCATGTTTTCATTCAAAATGGAAATTTACCATTAAAAAAAGAAATAATGATGTTTTTTCACTAAAAATACTGTTTTGTAATGAAGGTAAAACTAGTCTGCTCTAGTGGAGTCTATAAAATAGAGATTTGAACTGTTTCCTAGAATATAGTCTAGTCAGAGGCAAGTTTGAAGACAGTATTTTGGAAAGCTTGAGACAGCACTGGTGTTAAATTTGTATATCTTCTACCATTCATATTGGTAAAGAGTTTAAGGTATAATATTTTATTTTATATCTACCATTCATATTGCTAAGGAGCTTAAGTTGTGAAAATGTGTGTGCTTGTGTATACATACAATGTGTGTTTTTTAATACTTCTTTTTTAAGCTGCCAATGTATAAAACCAGCTTGATATGAAAAGTCAAATATATGCTCTTAAGGGCATATTATAAAATATTATAATTGATATAACCTTGTCTTATATGCTTCAGAATGGTTAATAGTAATTTTTTGTTTCAGGTAGTTTTTTTTAGTGCATTTTATTGAAATATAATTCATGTACAGTGAAATATACAAAACTAAAGTGACATGGGTCAATGCATTTTATTTTTTTTGCAGTGTTACTTCCCCTCCCCTCCCACACCTGGCAACCAACAAAGAAAGTTTCCCTCCATATATAAACCTTTCCTTGACCCTCAATAACAACGAACTAATATTATATTTGTCCTTCTGTGATTGACTTATTTCACTCAGCATAATGTCCTCCAAGTTCATCCATATTATACAGTGTTTTGCAAACTCTGCTTTATTCTTTAGTGCTGCATACCATTTCATTGTGTGTATATACCATAGTTTAGTCATCCACTCTTCTGCTGATGGGCACATAGGTTGTTTCCATCTTTTTGCTATTGTAAATATTGCTGCGATGAACATGGGTGTGCATATATATGTACCTGTCCTGGCTCTCACCTCTCTAGGATATATACCTAGTAATGGGATTGCAGGGTCAAATGGTATCTCCAATTCCAGCTTTTTAAGGACTAGCCATACTGCTTTTGTAGTGTAGCAAATCACCTGGTATGGCTTTTCTAGCCATAAGTCTTTGTAAACTCTGTGGTGGAATTGGCCATGAGCAACCAAGTAGCTCCTGATTGTAAGTTACTCACCTGGGGTATTTCTGTTGGGAGCAGCACAAAGTAATTTTCTGGGAAGTTCGTGCTCACTCTCAGGTGTATGGAATTCTGATGTTGGCATTGATTAGTTTGGCCACTCTGCTGGGCTCAGAAGGAGGTCTCCTAGAAGCAGAAGGAGTCTCTGACTGCTAATTGCGAAAGATGTGCTGCCGAGAGAAACACACTCCTGAGAGACACGTGCTGCTGAGAAAGAGAGGCCGAGAGACATGTGTTGCTCAGAGACACTGAGAGACACGCACTGCTGGGAAAAAGACTGAGAAGAGACTATTGGCTGAGAGACAGTGGGCTGAGAGAGATTGAGCGTTATTCCTGAACTTGAATTGTAGCCTGGTGCTTCCCTAATAAACCCCATAATGTGTGAGTTCTGTGTGGCCACTGCAACGAATTATTGAACCTAGCAGAGAGGTGGTGGGTGCTGTGAGAGGAACAGTTGGTGTCAGGGTTGGTGAAAGGGCTGAAAGGAGGCGGCCTGTCTGGCCTCATAGGGATAGGCCTTGGGCTACTGATGAAGACTGTTCTGTCTTCCTCTTGTGGGGTTAGAGGAAGTCAGAAGATGTGGCCTCCCTGTCCCTTTAGCAGCTTTCCACAGTGGTTGTATCACTTCACAGTTGCACCAACAGTGTATCAGAGTCCCAATCCCTCCAATCCCTGCCAGTATTTGTTATTTT